TTCCATTTATACTATCCGGACTTATTATTAGTGATATTATCTCTTTTCTTTATATATGCCTTCACCTGTTTCATTTCACACATTCGTTATTTCATGATGAATCTCTCATTGCAGTCTTACTATCTCCTCCTGTTTAATGCATACCACTTTGTACTAGCCACTCACCTGACACCTTTTATAACCTTGAACTGACTTGTCAATTTTCCTGCCCCACACTCTACAAATCTAATATAACTAATCACCATCATTGTCTCTCATCTCACAATATTTTGTAATCGATTTCAGCCTATCACGACGTTTGTCACACAAATACGACTATTTATTTTGACACCCCATAGCTAATCTGTTATTCTACGCTAAAAATGCATCCGCCGCATGACTGGCCATTATTGTAACGACAATCAATATTATATTTTAGAATTGTAAGAACCTTAAGAGAAATTATTGAAAAGAATATTCTTCGTTCAGAATGACTTTTAATTTATGATATGGGAATATTTTACACCAAATAAATCTTAGAATTTCATAGATTTGTTCCTCTCCAGTACAAAAGGAATTTCATGAGGACACTCAGCGATAGGGTCAGAGCTAATATAACTGAAGATGAACTTAGCATTGCATATGACACCCTAATTAAAAATATCGATCCGGATCAATTTATTGTGAAATATATAACGGTCAATGTAGAAATGGACTGTCCTGTATCTGTAAAAAGGAAGCCTTTATGTAACGACAGAAGGCAAGAGTCAGGCAACAGATCATTTGTTAAGGAAATCAACGCATATTTATATATGTTTTCATGTACATTACTATGGATATGTAAACAAACAAACACAGTCTTCCGATTGGTTGTTTCTCACGACATATCTTGGGAACGTAAATATTGACGTAAATTACTGTCTACCAATTTGGCTAGTAGACAGCTCTCACCACATTTATATATACGACTGCAATTCAGGAGTGACGCGCCTAGTGAAAAGATTGTTAGCAATTTGAGAAGATCTATTCAAAGAACTTTTAATGTTGATAAACAACGAGTCACATTTTCCACACGATCGGTTGTGATTCCTCAATTGGAGAATGATTTACTTAGACTAAACACCCCTGATTGCATCTACCCATTCAACTGCTCCTGTGAAGCGAGTTAAATTGGCCGTCGCTCTAGGAACTTGATTTTTCGTGCGCCCTTGGGTACACCTACCGGTGTGGTTAAATGAAGGTGCGATGAAAACCATCAACAGCTAAATACTAGATCACGTGGTCCAAAGAGACCAGTCACAAAGCCAGCATTGAAGAATCCTTCTCCATCATCTATCGGCTACCTAGTGAGTTGTCAAAAGCATCCAGATATTGAAAACTGCAAACAACAGAGGCTACTGCAATCCACTTAAAAAAACCGTTGCTCTGTGTGCAGAAGAAACAAATTCAACCACTGTTACTGACTGCCCTGACCTTCTGTCCAACCTATAAATTCATGAATTCTGTATTATTATTTTTCCTAATTTGTCTGACATTCAGTGTGTAGTGTAATGCCGCTGCCTACTATCACGCTTACGGACACCGCTGACCTACAATCTATTCACATTATCGATTGATTCGATGTTATTTAAACAACATGAATGTTGCTAATAACCCTAATCTCTTTCATTATTATGGATGGTATATATAAAGCTGTAGAGCCTGACGGAGAGGGAGGTTATCGAAATGAATATTCTTTGTTCAGTATTCATCTTTTAGGTTAATTTGCATTTTGCATAGATTGATTATGTTAGGCTGATATGTTCAGTCTCGTTTGGCTTGATGATTCCTAATACTGCAGGCTTTTTCGACGTTATCTGAAGAATAGTGTAATGTTATTGGCAGTGGGTGGTAACTGAATTATTAATAATCGTGGAAAATACCCAACAATACATTACAGACAAAAGAATAAGATGCTCAGCAAAGATATTTTTCCGCGCAATTTTATCCTGAAAAGAAGTTGAATAATCTCATTTTCCCACGTTAGTTTACATACTTATGCTTATTATTTATTGTCAAGTGCTGATATGGAGGGATTGGTTACGAGTTGACATCAGTTACAGAACGATTGGAAAACCAGCTTGGAGCACTGGACAGCTGTGTTCGAACCCCAGTGGGTGCATGGTGCTGCAAAGTCGCAGACTAGGACGAAACAGCTCTCCAGTACTCCCAGCTGGTTTTCTAGTGGTTCTCTAACTGATTAAAAATGCCCATTAAAATTTTCAAAAGAATGGATACTGAACAAAGAGTACTCTTTTCGATAACTCCTTCATCATCAGGCTCTACAATTATATATACATTATAATGAATGAATGAATTAGTCTTATGAACGACATTAATGTTATTTAAATAACATCTAATCAATAATATTGATAAATTACAGCTGAACAGCATCAACATAAAATAAGCGGAATGTCAGAAGAATTAGGAAAGAGTACAAATTCATGAATTTCTAGTCTCTACTGAAGGCCAGCCAGGGCAGCAGTATTGGCTGGACTTACTCCTTTTGCACACAAAGCACTGATTTTTTCACGCTAATTACGATAGTCTCTGCTGTTTGTAGTCTGCGGTACTTCGATGTTTTTGGCAACTTATTTGGCATTCGGTAGATGATAGAGTAGGATTCTTCAATGATGGCTTTGTCGGCCGGTTTGCACTAGATGGCCTAATATCGAACTGTTGATGGTTTTCACTTCACATTACTTCTCTAACTCATTGTTTAATTCAAAATAATAACAAAGGAGTTTTAAAAGTGATAATAATTTTCAGTTGGATATGAAAGTTTGAAGGTAGGAATAAAGATTACAACAGGCTTAGAAGCAAAATTATACAAGATAGTTTGCAGCGAAGACAGGCATCAACAGGATGTGCATATTATAAACAGATTGAAATAATATTAGTTTTTCTAACTGAAGATGAAAAAATGAAGCAAATGAAAAGACGAACGAAAACTAAAGTGTCATACAGAACTAGATCCATGGTAAATGTAGAGGTTGGATTAGTTTCTTTTGAATACACGGTCATGGATTTTCGATGTAAATTGCGAAGGTTTCTGCAGTACATAGAAGTCGAAAACACACCCTGCCTTTGGTCGATTTTTGTTCACTTTGTAGATGATTTCGAATGATGAGTCATTTGAGATGCTGTGACAGGTGATTAGATGGTGTTCATTTGTAGCACCACTGACTGAACTGCTGTTTTCTCTTCTCAGTTACCCTGAGTGTAGTTCTGTAACACATTTTGAAAGGACACACAGTAGTTGTAACTATGCAAACTTATATGTATATTTACATATATAAGATGTGAGCGCAGTCGTGCAGCTTTATTAATAGCACTGGTATTAGTTGTTGTGTGACTGGCGCCAACAGTATGAGTGGTAGAAGGGTGAATAATAACAGTAGTAGTAGTGTAACAACAGAAGGCAAGACACGGTAGCCAAAGTGTATTTTTCATTAATCAAACCGCTGTTTATATATCTAAACAGTTTATATTCGTTAACCAATCACTGAGCGTGTGATTTCGGTTTACATCAAACGACATGAAATAGAATGTTCAAATATACACAGTATTCTGTTGCAAATGCCGAAATGAACTGTGGGAACATGTGAGAATAACATTCCGTCGGCACACATTGGTCTGTATCACACCACCACAGTAGTAATGTGGTCATTAACAGTAGTGTCGTAGTGAGAGCTGGCTGCTAGCCAAAGTTGGTAGACAGTAATTGACGTCAATGTTTATGTCCCCAATATTGGTGGTGAGAAAATGAGAACAAAGGCTTTGCGTAGGCGGATACAGTTAGCATATGGATAATCTGACACAGCCACAAAGAGATGCAAGGTTAACTTTCTGTGAGAAACAACTAATCAACAGACTGTATTTTCTACTAACGATAATCTACAATAATGTACATTGAAATCTATAAATATGTGTTGATTTTCCGTAATAAACGATCTGTTGCCTGGCCCTCGTCTTCTGTTGTTACAGTATTACTAGTGTGAGTAATACTGGTAGAATTATCAGCAATAGTAATAGTAATATTACTTGTGTAAGCGATAGTAGTATTGTGGTGAGAGCTGGCTGCGAACAAGTTAAAATTGTAGACAGCAATTTACATCAATGTTTACGTCCCGAATGAGGGTCCTGAGAAAAAAACAATAACAAAGCTTAACCTTGAGGAAGTCAACAACCAATCACAGACGACTCTATCCTAGAACATTTGATAGATTCCGGACACCAAGCTACACCCAAAACAAACTTCAAACTACAGAATACTAATAGTCTTCCTAAAAGTGTATGAATCAAACTTCTTCGAACTGCAGAAGCAATGGCGATTCATTCCCTTGCTAAGTCCTGAACTCTGCATACAGAAGAAGTTCGTTCAATCACTACACTTGCAATGGACGTAATCTATCTTAATACCCAACAGGCAAATTCTATTTCTTTCTGTCTCTTCATTAGTATTATTTTGTCTTTACAATTGTAATATTTTACATTTTCAACCTTCCTCTTCTCTACTCCAAACAATTTAATTTCTACAGTTCATTACCACTGTTACTGACTTGACCAACGCTCAATTTCTAGTCATTTATGTTACGCCATCCAATTTATTTGCTCAATTTTAGTCCTCTACCCCACCTCTACTTAGTCTCTACCTGTAATTACCTCTGTTGCTATCCTGACCTAAACTGAAACATTTTAGTCAACTATATTACGTCATCTAACTTACTAACTCAACCTTACTTTAGTTGCTGTATAATTAACCTTGTTTCTATATTAGATCATTCTTGTATTACCTGATTAATTATCTAAACTTGACAAACCTCATGTACACACACACAAATAATTATATATAAATGCAATTGTACAGCTATATGAATGAATTCGCCATCGAAAAGAGTCTCTTTGCTGAACGTCTTCTCTTTTTCATATGAAGAAGAATTAAAAAGGCATTTATAAAATCAGTCAATCGGTAATATACATATATTTGTGTATATATATGTATGCATGTTTGTATGTGTGGACATGTGTGTGTGGATGTGTGTGTGTGTATGAAGTTTTGCTAAATCTTATCTCAAATTGTTGTTTACAATAGTTCAAAGAGTTTTTCACTTCGTTGGTGTTGCTTTCTAATCTGGTGAAAATAAATAAATGTGTGTGTGTGTGTAATAAGGGTATATATCACAGTTTTGCTTGAACTTTCCTTCACTGACTGCATGGAATGATACGCATTACTTGTGGGAGACAGTAGTGTTACTTGTATTTCTTTGTTCAGGGTTTTGGGTATTCCTTTCTTGGGAGATGGTTTGATAGGAGCAGAGAGTTGTGAAGGGAAAATACAAATTTCCTATATGAAAACACCAAAAATTAAACAAAATGAAAAAGTTAATGATTATCCAGAAAACTTTATCACAATTGTCACAGTAAGGATATTAGAACAAGACATATAAGCAAACAATATTGTTGTTTTCAATTATATCTTCGTCAGGCTTTAATCTAATTTACATAGCTCTTTATATATAAAAATTTTAACCAATGCTCCAATGTCGTCGAAAAGAAAATGGTTTATCAAAAGAACACCACGCCGAAAAGATAATCTTATTATCCTTAAACCTGATAAGGGAGAAGGCGTTGTCATCATGAATAAATCGGACTATCAAAATAAAATGAATGATATCCTCAAAGATCAGTCCAAATTTCTGGTGGATAATGTTACTGATAATGTGCTGCTTGTGGAAAAGCAGATCAGTCGTCAGCTTCAGATTTTATAAATGGGAAACTTTATAAACAACTTAAAGCTATTGGATCACATACTCCCCAGTTGTATGGCCTTCCAAAGATCCATAAAACTAGGAACCCACTTAGACCCATCTTAAACATGTCGGATTCTCCATACCATAAAATCGCAAAATGGATTACAAAGGTCCTTACGCCTGTAAGAGACTCATTATCAAATCATTCTGTAAAAAGTTCATTTGATCTGACCGATATGCTAGACATCTTGAACATTAAGGAAAAGGTTATGTGCTCAATCGACACAGAATCTTTATTCACCAATGTTCCTCTTCATGAAACTGTTGATTTCATTTGCGATTACATCACAAGCAATGGGACAAACTTACCTATTCCCATCACTTACATCAGAGACATCATCTTAATGTGTACAGGAAATATCAGATTCACCTTCCAAGAAAAGGCATACAAACAAATCGATGGTGTTGCGATAGGGAGCCCATTTGGGCCTCTGTTAGCAGATATATTCATGTCGAAATTAGAGAAACAAATGCAACGTATGCTTGGGGAATATATGTTATATAAATGTTATGTGGATGATACACTCATTATTGGTAATAATATTAAGTCTATTGAAAACTTTATTACTGTATTTAATCATATTCATCCAAATATCCGAGTGACTTCCGAACTCGAATCGAAAAACAAACTCGGTTTCCTGGATGACAATGACCAGGAGAGATGATGGAACGGTTCAGCGATCTATTTTTCGTAAATAGACATGGAGTGGACAATACCTTCATTTCACCAGTTTGGTTCCTATCCAGTATAAACGTTCCCTAGTGAAATGTTTGTTCTCTAGGGCCCGAAAAATATGCACGAGTGACACAATGATGGATGAGCTTCGACATATACATTCAGTTTTATTAGCTAATGGTTATCCAGAAAACTTTATCAATTGCCACAGTGAAGATAGACCACATCTAGAAAAGACAGCTTCTGTACCAAAGAAAGCTATCTTTATTAACCCACCATTCAAGGGTGATCAAATTATGCAGTTGACAACTCAAAGACTTCGGTCAGCCATCAAAAGCACATTCTAAGCCGTAACTTTTTCCCTCACATGCCGAACATTTTTGATCCCTGTACCTACGATTAAAGCACGAAATTCTGTGGTACCAACTTCACACTGTATCTTCAATTTCACCTGCAGTTGCGGTGACACCTATATAAGTAGAACCAATAGAATGTTCCAAATTCGTCGAAAAGAACATGTTCCACATTGGTTATTAAAACACATAGAAAATCCCAATGCAATTAATCTGAATAGAAATCCAGCATCATTCATTGCAAAGTACTTATCAATGTCCGGTCACAAAATCAGTAGTAATGACTGTTTCACAATTTTCAATGGTTGGTTTGTAAGAATTAGATTTGTTTTGACGAGTTTGATCACGGATTGATATCATCAGTTAGAGAACCATTGAAAACTAGGGAGCACTGGACAGCCGGCTGCTTCGTTCTAGTTTGTGACTCCTCATCAGTACGCACACACCACCATGGTTCGAACCCAGGACCTTCCGGTTACAAGGCAAGCTCGTATGCCATTCAGCCATTGGATACGCGTCGTAACATTGACTGGTGGTCGTGCTCTAAAAAAATGCAAATCGACAGGAGTTAGAATTTACAGGCTACCGAATTACCGCCGAGGTGGCTGAATGGTCATCGAGCTTGGCTTCATAAGTGGGTTCGATCCTTAATGGTGTCTGGGTGAGTACTGGCGAAGAGTCTCAAACTAGGGCGAAATATCTGTCCGGTATTCTGTGATTTTGAATGCTTCTCTGGCTAAAATCAATATGTTATCAAACTTGAAGCGAACCAAATCCCTAAGGACTAACAAAAGAGAGTTTTAATTGCGGGACAAGAATAATAATAATTAGAGATGGAATACACTATTTATAGTAATAACATATAACAAGTAAAAGATACTGTCATGTTAAATTCAAAGCTATCAACATTTCTTATTTGCGCACTGAGACCGCTGTTTTGGACACTAATTGAATGCGCATCTACATCTGTAATCATTTTTCTGTTTGTTTTGTCTACTGACAGTGCTGAGTAACTTGATGACGTCAATATTGGGCCTATAGTCTGTAGAATTACTTGTTGCCTAACTTGTTGGTGCTTAATTATTTCTCATAGCATACATATACAACACTTCATATAGACTACTGATTCTGTTGAGGAGTTCTACCGAAATTCGCCGAATGCTTTATATTCCCTGCTTTAATAACAACTTTTGTTGCTTGTTTTCAATGCCTATAAACACAAAACCGAATCCAAGGGCATCCTGTTGATTTTCCTTCGTCAATGTAAGAAGAAAAATACCTTAAACATGTCAAATGCATCGATGAATAACCCTGAAGTCAAAAAAACACACGAGAGTTTTCTCCGTAATTCAGATTAAACTTACCTAATTAACCAATAGTATCCTTTTGTATTGTCTCAGAATTACTCTGTTCCAATGACTGAAATGTAGTTGCCTGTTTATTTTGTTCATTTTCACGTGAAATCCATTCATGTGACAGCGCTTCATTGGGTGTAATTCTTTCTTCAGGATCCCATCTATGAAGGCAAGCAGAAGAAAAATAAACGCACATAGATGCTGTAAGAAATCAGAAAATAAGTGGATGAGTGAAAGGGTCTACTGAACGAAAACTAAATTTAAGTTTTCGCATTGTAATTTGTTTATTAGATATGTCACACAATGAGTGAAACAGTATTATTTACTGGATCACGAAGTTTCGAACACAATTTATTTATTGTTCATAGTCATAGCATCATTATAACAACACAATTTCGAAACTTTCGTTTCATAGTTTCCTTTGTTATGTCCTATTTATTTATTTATGTCCAAGTGTACAAGTAATGAATCATTTCTATCACACACATTCCCTGTCAGTTGATTCGATAAACAAAGCTTCAGTTGTCAGTATCTCCCTCCAACATGTCATATTAGATTTTAAAACTGTCACCTTTCCCCATCCCATCACATCCTATTGTGTAGTTGTGTGCAATTGCATGTAGCGCTACAGCTTAGCTATTCTCCAGATTTCTTATCTTATTCGGGTCAGTTAGAATAACAGGCCACTGTAGACTTTGTCAGCACATGTATTGAATTCATAGTGAACAGGAGATAGCCATCCGGGAAGGATAAGTGGCAATGAAATCTGACAGTCAGCGAAGCAATCAAAATCCTGTCGCCTGACAAATATAGATGAATGAGGTAGACACTGAGCATACCAGTGAGTGACATCACATTTCAAGCCTTCAAGTAGAACCTAATCAGGAAGCAACGAGTCAGATATGTGTCCGAGGGTAACATAAAGGATATCATGTGAAGAGGAAACACGAGCTTGTTGATAGTTGTGGAACAGCCAAAAAAAAGAAGCCAAAGAATAGAGCATAGTGACGACATATCACAGAAGCCATGTGTTTCACTTAAGACGCAACAAAACAAATAACGCACCATAAAATACGTGTTATATATTAAAAGAAGAATATATGAAAGTTATTTGCTTCAAAAATAATCAAAAGCAACTTACGTTAAACATTGACTTAGTAGATTTAAAAATTTTGAATCGACTGTTTTGACTAGATCTTCAAGTGTTTGACTACCAGGAATACGTCTACGACCTCGACTGTTGACTAAATGTCTTGGGGAACGTTTCGAATCTGTTAATGATGAGGGAAAAGATGAATTCACAGTTGTGAGACTTAATATAATTTGATATGTGTAATGTGCACCTGTGCAACCTATTGCGTACTATCACCTACGACATTCGTAATCGTGGTTGACTGGGTCATGAAGCAGACATCGGGGAACGAGAGGACAGCGATATATTGGACAGACAAAACGAGTCTAGAACATCAGGATTTTGTTGGCAATTTATGTCTAATGTCATACAAACTGAGAGATCTATCAACAAGTTTTCAGATGAAGCTGAGAAGACGGGACTTCAAGTGAACACAGAGACATTAGTGGTGATGAAGGTACCTAACCGGCAATAAAAAGAAGCCCAAATCAGAGAGGAAGTCAAAAAAGTCAAATCTTTCACTTATATAGGCGAAATCGATTCAAATACAGGTGACACGGATGAATATAAATCAAGACTATAATCGCAAAGGCAAGACAGAAGCTCAGTAATCTGGAATCAGTATGTATATCGACTGAACTAAGCATAAAGAACAAAATTCGGGTTTTCAACACTTATGTCAAGTCAGTTTTTCTCCCCGTCATCATTAGCATTTCGAACAGACTTCAGATTTTTATCAACACCTGCTTCTTCTGCAGTGCTGAAGAAAAGATTGCCGCCCAGAAATGGTTATCAACATGGGGCTCTGGAAACGAGACAATCAGTAACCTACTGTCCAAAACTTTTTCCAAAAGAAATGGAGATAGATATCGTTGGACAAGATCGCGCCAGGACATCACTCGAGTAGAACCCGAATAAGAAAACGATGGGTTGTATGTGAAGCCAAGGATGACATGGAGTAGATCGTGTTTAGAGGAGTTGAGAGCTTATTGGCAATCATGGAGCCAGTTAAGGATGAGTGCAGAAAACAGGCTGAAATGGAGATGAGCGTTTGAAGCCCTATATTCCACTCGTAACATAACAGAATAATAATATTAATAAAACTAACAGCGAATATACATATATATATATATACACATACAAACTTACCGAAAAATACTCTTCGCCTACTAGCCTTTTCAAGGAGTGATTCAGGAGGTACGCCAAGTACTTCCATTATACAGGCTAACTGTTCATTCTCATTTTCTCCAGGAAACAATGGACGACCTAAATTTAAATGGGAAAGATACAAATGATGAAAAAATTGGGAAACTGTAAAGGTTGACCTTGACACATGTAAAGTTTAGCTCATTGGTTATTAACTGTGGTAAGTGGGATTACGGTTGTCAGATAAAACTTGTATTTAAAGGCTTTTCTAACACACTGAAGTAAGCAGTGAAACTAGTAATGATAACACAAATAAGAGAGAATATAAGGTATCTACAGTTCTACCATATCAGGAGGGACATCTGAAACACTTCGTAGGATTCCTAATAAAGCAGGAATTAGGGTGGCATTCAAACCTCCAAACTAACTCAGAGACAAGCTCTGTAGGCTAAAAGACCCGGTGGACCCAATTATACAAAATAATATAATTTACAAAATACCTTGTAATGACTGTGAGGTCAACTATATAGGTCAAACTAGTAGATCGGGGGTAATCAGATTGTCGGAACATAAGAATTTAGCCAAGGTAAGAATGGTTGACCCCGAGAAGATAAGTAATTTAGAAAAAAGCTAAGCAATTGCACTACATGCAATAACACACAACCACACAATAGGGTGGGAGAGGGTTAAGATTCTAAGAAGTAATCTATGTAGGTGGAGAGAGATTGATTACTGAATCCTGGTTCATTGAATCTACACCCAACACATGCAACAGAAATGACTCAATGCAAATACCAGAAATATGGAAGATATTATTACCACCAGTCAAATCAGAAGAGGATAATAAATAATCTCAAAATTCTATTTCAATTAAGCACATCACAACATTCTAACAAATTACTTATTATAACTATAAGAACATTCGTCTTATTTCCCATCTAATTGTATTTGATCAATAACACTCATATTATTATCTCTGAATGTACATTATCTCATATTGATTTTTATTCAAATATCTAGTCAATTCCATACATATATATAAATGAAGGAAAAAGTTGTGTGAGTGACTTGATATGATTATGAGCAGCAATAATTTGTGCTCGAAAGGTCATCAGTTAATATTACTGTGTAACACTGTGTGATTTATCAAAATAAAATCTTATCCATAATGGAGTTACACTCTACCACAGTGCCCAAGTTTTATACTTATATGAAGTAAGCAGTGTCTGTTGACATGTTGACTACTAGAACAGATGCTTCAAAGGTTGACACCTGTCCTAGATTTCAAAGCTACCCATCACCTAACAAACATTATCAGCGGAAATGTAATCAATAGAAATTGACTAGAAAGAAGGACACTGCTTTCCTATAAAGTTACGAAAGTAAGACAAATCTGATTCGTCTTTATTTCACTTTTTGTCACGTCAGCTTATTTTAGCAAAATGAGAGTCTGTGATGTCGCTGAAATTTCATCCATTAAATGTTTGAATACAATTAGGTTTCGATAAAATTGAGTAATATATTGTAGAAAGTGCTGAAAACTGTGAATCGATTAGATGGCATTTTGGCCTGGTGTAACCTGTTGGTTATAAGCGTTTACCTTTCAGCTGAACTGTCTTGAAATGTTGCTACTATATAAAAAAGAGGAGTAGTTGAAGGATGATATTCTACGCTGGAATTGTTTATTTTTTCAAGAGCTGATTTGTAGGTATTTGATTTGTTTTTCGAGCTTGACCATGGACTGATTTCAGTTAGAGAACCGCTGAAAACCAGCAGAGAATACTAGACAGCTGTTTCGTCCTAGTCTCTTGAGACTCATCGGCAGTACGTACCCACCCTACAGCCAGGACCTTCCGGTTACAAGACTAGAGAGTTTGTAGACCATTCAGCCACTCGGACCCAAATCAAACGCTAGCCCATGAACTCTAACTTCTACCAATTCGTGATTTTAGCGCAAATGGCACCAGTCATCGATGAGCATTTGTCCTCACTTCTGACAGGATGGACCCCACTGGTCACGATGTCTCAGCAGAATTCCAGAAAACTTGGTCCTCTAGCCCGGAGAAGCTGTAAAAGCTGTTCCTCTTTTTGACGTAGACACCTTTCTTGAAGACTTCATTGGTTTCAGTGGTTATTAAAGATTTTAATGGTTATTAAACGGGAAGTACCGGTCACTTTCAGTTGTGAAACAAGGTTCTGAACACAGTTTATTATCATCGAAAATACCCATTGAGTCATGGAGAATATAAAAGACAATTCAAAGAAGAGAATTTCCTTTATCGACGAAATCATCTTCAGAGGACGTACAGTCGCATTTATATTTACCAAAAATGTAAAGTAGTATATTATTGAGTAATAGGGTAGGGTTGACATAATTGATATAATTACTCAGAAGTGGCTTCAAAAGTAAAAATAAAAGTTATAAATTACGCAATAGTCAACGGCACAAAGGTAGAAAGCGTTAGAAATTCGATGAGGCTAAAATTGTCATTGAGTGAGAAGAAAGGTAGTTGAGTGTCCAGAGGGTGAGAAAATGTACAAAAGGAACATATGAGAGTGATAATAATGAATTAATTATCAACAAAAGTAAAAGCAAACTAATCATCAAAACTAAAAATATAAAATTGTACAAGGAACGACTAATGAAGGGGTTAAGACCGTAGTAGAATAAGAGACTGCACAAACCTTTTCTATATACAGAGTTCGGGGTTGTATTGATGAAATGCCAGCGCCTCCGCGATACACACATGCTGAAACCTTACCTTGTAGATAATCTTGAAAGACGACTCTGGTGGAGCTGAGTGGCTTGAGTTCATGAAGTGCTCGAGAATTGAGCTAGTAACTGTCTAGCATTGTCCTTTTGCTAACCATACCGGATAATGTCCAGAGATGCGTTTATTATTCATAATTATATAAATTATAACTGCACAACTTCGAAACTTCCATCTTATAGTTTTCTGTATTCCTTTCCATTCTTAGTAGGGGTAGTATAGTTTTCAAGGTATCTGGAAGGGGTGTTGAATCATTTCTATTGCATATACTGACTGGATGAATAAAGCTTCGGTTACCAACCTCTCCTCCTACCTTGTATATTAGACTTTACGACTGTCACTTTATTTGATCCCATTGTATGGTTATATGTGGTGATATAGCTGAGCTGAATTTTTAAGATTTCTTATCTACTAGTCTAGGTATTGATCCTGGGGGAATATGCTTAGTAAAGTCAAAACATAGACATTCAACAAGTATGAGTACACTGAAGACCTCGAAACCAGAAACTGAGCTAAAAAGTAAATTTCGATTCGAAACTCAACTATAACCCTAATCTTCACCTAACATAAGCCTTAACCCATCTCTAGACGTAATTTTCCCCTAACTTGATCATGAACTAACTAGAAATTCTGTTTAGTATTCTTACAAACCTTTCAACACTCTATTTATGAATGTAGTTTTGTTTTTCTGCTTTCACTATCCTACTCTGACTAAGAGTTCCATGGTTACTTTGACAGAACTGCACAAAACAGCTTTACTAAATCACTAAAAGTTTTAAGTTATAATGTAAACCTAGTTAAAATATATATTCATCTAGATTTTTAATGGTATGGACTTCGATTTTCCTCATGGTAATCAGTTCACATTGCTAAGTGCTGAGTGCTGTAGGTTTAATATGAAGTATTGGCGACATCCTTCATTCATCTATGCACACACACACACTACTTACATTACAAACACTACAAATTATCCAATCAGACAGCAGACAAATGTCTAAAGTCTCTCTGATTGGTTAATCAGGGTCATTTTTTGGTGGAATGTTTAAATCCCTCGGTTACCTAAATACCCATCCATCAAAATGCATCTTATTTACTTTATTTCACGTTGTTTTAATTATTCAATTACACCTCTGAATTGCAATTTGCACTCAAGCCTACTTTTAAATAGGATTCAAACTAGTGCTATGGATATTTCCAGATAAACGGTGAAAAAGCCTACCAGGTTATCAGAGAATGCTTTACGCCGATTATTAACCTATTTGAAGATTCTAAACATGCAATAAATACTTTGCCATCCAGCATGCTGAGTATCAAGCGATATGTATTCAAATGCTTTTTCAGAATAAAGTTGTGATAACAGTAAACAATAAATACCAAAGTCAAATGACCTTGAGCCAACCAATCAGATCGGAGAGCATTACAAAAAATGGATGCTGTTCGCATAATCTTCGTTTTAAGTTTCACCCAGATTTGGTTTTTGACTTCTTTGTGGAGAATGGATTGATAGAGTGAACTAAAACATGCATATGTGGAGAGATAATGACTCTGCAAAAGTATTGCCGGGCTACTGATGTTTATGCCTTCAGATGCTACCGCTGTTAAATGAGGAAGTCCGTAAGAGTTAGTAAATCGAACATTATGGTCATTTCTTAGATACTTTCGTCTCGAAACAGAAACTCTGCTTTAATTAAATACTGTACATATGCCACAACTGGTTACTGAAACGACTAGTATCTGCTGCAGCTGCAGAAACACAGAATACTAAAATATTAACGGTTCAGTGGCATCAGCACCATGAGGATATTACGTCACAAAAGACTATAGATTTACTTCAGTACTTGTAGGAATCGGTGTCGTCGTTCATATTGACGAAACAGTACTCATTAAACGAGAAATGAATCGCGGTAGGAGAAGAGCAATCATTTTTGGGTGTTAGGATACACGATACAAATCTTGGAAAAGGGTTCGTAGCTTTCATCCCAAACAGAAGTGCTGACTTTTAGTGCCGATTATACAACGACTAGTCCTCCCAGGCACTACCATTCACACAGATGAGTGGAGATGTTATTCGCAATTATCATCCATCACAAAGTCAATCATTCTTCTGAAATGGTATATCCTATAAGCGGGACCTATACAAATTTTATTGATCGATTCTGGATCCACCTGAAAAAATGCATTAGAACGGTGAGTGGTTTCCGAAATGATATGGTATGTAGCCACTTTGATGAGTTTTCGTATCAATATTGGTTTGATATGTCTATAACCACTACTATGAGAAAATGGGACCTATTTTTACAGCATGTTAGAGATATATACCCTGTATAAATCATTTTTTTATCACATATATATATCTTATAAATACACTTTTTTGGATAAATTAAATGCCACTTTCCACCTAGAAGAATCTGATTGGTTGCTTCAAGGTCGTCTGAAGTTGTTGCGAAAGTTATTATAATTAGAATTATGTAAAAGGTCATTGTCAAGATTTAAACCTACCTGTATACAATTCAGGTAGAATACAGCCTAAACTCCACATATCAATTGGTAAATCATAAGGTATGCCTAAAATAATTTCTGGTGCTCTGTAGAAACGTGATTGAATATACGTGTAAGCTGGAATGAAGAAAAATCAAATTGGAAATAGAAAATATGTGGAAACAAGAATTTTAAAACAATTTTAAAAACGTGCTCTTTCAAGTAAACATTATTGTCTCAGTTCTTCAGAGTGAACCTAGCAACAGACTTCTCCACCACCCTCTTTGCTAAAAGCTTTAGGTATGTATAAAACAAACTAGATGTCAAAATGCACGAAACTATTCTTTCATATTAAGAGTATTTCAACAGTTATGGACATCAATTTGACTGGGGAAATGTAGAAATTCTAGACAGTGGGAACACGCATCTCTCCCCCTCTTATTCCTTTACATTCCAAGTGGAACATAGGACTTTAAGCTTCAGTTTTAGTAGCAGTGGTGTTCATTTTTCGGGGTAGGGTTGCTAGCCTATCGCCCTACCTTCCCTCTATCTACTATATGCCTAAGCGAGGTTAAAAAGTGAGTCGGCCGGGGTCGAACCCTGGAACATGTGCATGACTGATGAGTATTCTACTGCTAAACCACGGGGAACACGAATAAGAGCAAACGAATTCCTAGAAGCCTGATAATCATACGAATCAGCTATCAACAGACAGATTAGAATTTTTCACCTCTCCCACTCTATTGTGTGGTTGTGTGTTAATGCATGCAGTGCGATGCAGTACTGAGTTCCTCTTTCTAAATTACTTATCTTCGTGGGGTAAATTATTCTAACCTTCGCTAAATTCTTATGTTCCGACAATCTCACTACCCCCGATCTACTAGTTTGACCTATTTAGTTGACCGAACTCACAGTCATTGCAAGGTATTTTGTGAATGATATTATTTTATCTAATTGGGTCAACTGGGTCCTATAACCTACAGAGCTTGTCCCTGAGTGAGTTTGTAGGTTTGAATGCCACCCTAATTCCTGCTTTATTTAGAATCCTACCACGTAGTGTTTCAGATGTCCCTCCTGATATGGTAGAACTACTGTAGATGCCTTATATTCATCCTTATTTATGCTATCATTATTAGTTTCCCCATTATTTTTATTTGACCTTTTCTCATTTTCCTAATGAATTTCATAGAATAGTTATTTGATACCAACGTTTCATCTGTCTGTTTTATTTCATAATTTAGGTCTTTTCGTGTACTACTTAGTACGATTGTTTGGTTTGTTAGATATTACTGAACTAACCCTACCTTCACTGACAGATAACGGATGAGGTGATGAATTAAAGTCTAAATATCTATTAGCAGAATGCGTTGGTTTTTTATAAACTCTGGTGTGCAGTTTACCTTCTTCTGTTCTTTTTATTTTACAATCTAAAATAGCTAATTCTCCTTGTTCATTTTCCAATTCAAATGTGAATTTAATTCCTTTAACTAGTGAGTTTACGCATGTGTGAAGAAGCTAGAGATATGTTCTGTTTTTAACACTGTGAAAATTTCATCTACATGTCTCCACCATATCTTTGGAGTAGGATTAAATGTATTTAAAGCAATATTTCCCAGCTGTCCATAAATATATCTGCTACGATAGGGGATATTGGTGATCCCATTGCTACACCATCTGTTTGTCTATATATTTTGCCTTGGAATCTTAAGATGGTAGATGTCAGGCATACATGAATTCTTAAAATAATTTTCTCAATGGTCAGCTTCGTCCTATGAGTGAGTTCAGGATCTGCTGTTAGTTCTCTTTTAACTGCTTCTAAGGCCATACTGCTTGGTATATTAGTATAAAGACTAGTTATATCAAAACTAACCATTGTTTCATCATTCTCTAGTTGAATGTCATTTAGTTTATTTTTCATCTCTTATGAATGAGTTAGCATAGAGTTTGAATGATTTCTAATGAGGCATAATATATATGAGCTAAGTGTTTTGATAATTCATAAGTACGGGTATTTCTGAAATCTACTATTGGTCGTATGGGCTAACCTGGTTTATGTATTTTAATAGTACCATATATTCCACTAGCATTATTAGTTTTAGGCGATACGTTAAACCATTTAGACTCACCCAGTGACGTCTTCATTCTACGTATTAAATCCGCTGAAGATTTTTTAACCTTATTCATTATTGTATGTACAGGCTTCCTTAATTTCCTCATACGAACCCCTCTAAATATTTTCAGTGACTTTCTTGATATAGTCAGATTTATCCAAAACTACTGTAGAGTTTCTCTTATCAGCTTTTGTGATGACGACGTTTTTATCCTTTTTTTAAACTAATTATGTGGTGAGAGCTGTCTACTAGCCAAATTGGTAGACAATAATTGACGTCAATGTTTACGTTCTCAAGTTTGTCGTGAGAAAATGTGAACAAAGATTGATTCAAAACCGACCACAGCAGACTTTTCGTAGGCGGATACAGTTAACATATAGATGATCTGACATTCAAGAAACAGTCACAAAGAGATGAAAGATTAACTTTAAGTGAAAAACAACCATTCAGAAGACTGTGTTTATTTGCTTAACTAAGCTATAATAATGTACATGAAAATATATAAATATGCTTTGATTTCATTAATAAACGATCTGTTGCCTGGCCCTTGTCTTCTATTGTTACAAATATAGCTAATCTTTCCGATTTTGTTAAGTTTGATTTTGCTTTCTTTTGATTTTTCAGGGTTAACGCACATTGTGCTCAGCGATTACACTGCATGCATTAACACACAACCACACAATAGAGTGGGAGAGGGTTAAAATTCTAAGAAGTAATATAAGTAGGAGGAGAGAGAGAGGTTGATTACTGAATCCTTGTTCATCGAGTCTACACCCAACACGTGCAATAGGAATGACTCATCACTCATACTGGAAATATGGAAAATACTACCACCAATCAAGTCAAGCAATGAAAAATTATGGAATTATATAAGTGAAGTTAGAAAGTTGTGTAGTAATGCGTTGATATGATTATGTAATAATTTGTCTGTTAATTGCTGATTCGTATGAGTATCAGGCTTCTGAGAATTCGCTAGCATTATTCATGTTTCCACTGTCTACAATTTCTACATCTCCCCTGTCGAAATGGTTTCCATAGCTGTTTATATGAGTTTGATATAAAAGAAAACATATCCTGTCTTTTGTCAGCTCATTCACATTCTCGAATTCAAAATCGAAGGATTTTAACAATATAGTACTCATCATAATTCATGTAATTTATTTAGTGTAGGGTTCTGATCTTGTTTTCTCCTACTGTTGGTTCGGTCATTTGATTTTCCCAGTATTGAATGCAGTGATCGTATTGGTTAGTGTTCTATGTATATTTCGAAGGGTCATAAACATTTATCATACATGTGAAGGTAAATTTTCTTGCGATTTCCTTGGATGACTTCTAGCTGACAGTTTGATCCGAGGATAGACACCGTTTTTATGAAATTGTATAGGTAACCATCAATTTCTTGGCATCAATTTGTGAATATTTCTATTCTTCTCCCGACTGGAGTGTTACAGTGAGTGGCCCAAGTGATCTAGTGTTTGAAACGATGGGTAATGGTATCCAGTCTCAGTGAGAATGCTATCATCACTGGCATTGAGTTGCAGGCAGATCGAGCTAACGAGTCGAAAATAGGGCAAACTGAACAGCCTGAATTCTGCTACTAGTCACCATCCATGAGCAAACAATAGATACCACGACCAAATGATCTTGAACCAACCAATGGGATGCAAGTTTTACTCTGATTTATAGTTAGCAATAGAGTAAGGCTCAGGTTGGGTTGTAGTTAGCATTTAGGATTACAGTCAACGTTTGGGATGAAACTTGAAACGGAGATTATTGACAGAATTTTTTGAAATGTTGAGTGATCTGACTATCATCGTTATGTTATATTCATCATAAAGGCAGCCATTCATTCATGAGAATTAGTGCATCCTATAACTGGTACTCATATAAATTCTATTGAAGGATTTTCGACAAATCTAAAAACGCGGGTTAGTATAGTACATGCTTATAACCTTTTCTATGAAAACTGCAACCTATTTCATGGCAGGATATGTCCTGTACATATAGTCTCTTACACCATAAATGCTACCCATCACCTAGAAGAATTTGATTGATTGGTTCTAGGTCATCCGGGTGTGGTATCAATTCTTTGCCGTTGCCTTATTGCCTGAATAGTGTGAAATAAAATTCCAACTGAATCCGCTAATCAGAAAAAGCCAATCTACATTCAACTTGATTATAAAGGTGAAAACATTGCAGCAATGGTCAACAGAAGACTGAGTACGTCACTAGCCACAGCCTATCCTGCAGCCAAGCTCATTCCCGTCTATCAAACAACTTGCTCTTTAGTGCAATCAAAAATCGATAGATATCCTTCTCATGTTAACTCCAACTGTATATACAAATTTACATATATCTGCGGGAGCAGTTACATTGGAAGAACAGAAAGAAGGACATATCTACAATTTTCTGAACATGTACCAAAAAGCTTATGTCTAAAGGGAACAAATGCTTTAAACAGTGCCATGTAGCATCTCCTTGACAGGGTATGAGGTGGACGTCGCAAGATCGTTCAAAATTATCAATAGGCAAAAGAGTTCAATTCTCCTCAAGTTTGCTGAAGCCATCTCCATCAAGCGCATGAAACCTGATTTATGCGTTCAGAAAGAACCAGTTATCAGTTTTTCTTTGTCCTGGTAACTAGATATTTTCACTTCTCATCTGATTACGTAATGTCGAAAGTTTCCATTGTGTATAATCATTACTGTTCAGAATAGTGTTTGATATTATATATATATATATTATATATATATATGATTACTGTATGTATACATTGATTGATTGATTGATTTTTGTTTAAAAATGAACTCTATGCAAGTATGCCAAAACTGTATCTGTAGATTCAAATGAACTGTCGTCAAGATTTGACAGAATAGTTCTAAAATATTTGGGCGCCGAGTGAGAAGTAGACATTTGTAAAAAATTATATTTGTAAAGTCTCAGCGAGATTGTTATGTTAATTTCGATTAATTTCCCTGAAGAAGTTCGGACCAGATTGCCGAACGAAACGTTGGAATTACTCATTTCAATTTCGCTGAGACTTTACAAATATAATTTTTTACAAATGTCTACTTCTCACTCGGCGCCCAAATATTTTAGAACTATTCTGTCAAATCTTGACGACAGTTCATTTGAATTATTTTGCAATCGAATTAAATTAACAAAGAAACTGTGTAACTGGCACAATCATCGTGTTTTCACTCTCCGTTGTCTGCAACAGAATGCATATCCTAAATCCGTAGCTGTCGAGTCACCTGACAACTCCAGTAGGTCGAATAAAGCAGCTCAATCTTCAGAAAGAAGACAAAGCAATAAGTCCGACAGGGTGCTTCTACTAAACGCTAATCCTAAACACCATAATTTTGAAAATACGTCTAATCATAAAATTCTAGATACTAACAGTTTGAACGGACATGAAGGCGTGATGTTAGCTGATGCATAGGAAATCCTTATTAATAAATAAAAATGGATATGTATCACTAATTATTAGTACTTGGTCAAAATTCTCGACTGTCCATATCTTCTTATGGAAACGTTAAGAAATGTTTTACAACTGTTTACCCACATACACACTCTGTTTAAAGTGTTTAACAAAGGTAGACCAATATTTGTAAGTCCGAGGTCAAATTTTGATCACAGCTCATAAAATTTTGTTTATTATACTTGTTGATACTTTTTGAATGACTCATGATTGGACAAATTTTTAAAAACAAGTGATGTTCCTTTTTATATATAAACCTATGTTATGTTAATTTCGATTAATTTCCCTGAAGAAGTTCGGACCAGATTGCCGAACGAAACGTTGGAATTACTCATTTCAATCTCGCTGAGACTTTACAAATATAATTTTTTACAATTGTCTGTTTCTGTAGATATGCATAATGATGAATGACTTTGGCCTGTAAGCAGCTGATGAGAAGCCAACGAAATAAACAATGATAGTACCATTTTATTCTGCAAAATCTGTTGTTCTTGCTTTATTCAAAAAGGTGACAATCGAATGACCAATTAAATTTAAGCTTAATTAGATAGATAGTTCAGTTCATAAAAGTTGACTGGTATTCTGTACATGAGGATAGTTAAAAAAAAACTCACTTTTCTGGTGTAAGAAACAACTTGAACCGAAATCAATAACTTTCAATTCAGAGGGATTATTCAAACCAATAAGAATATTTTCCTGTAAGAGAAATCACAAGAATTATTTTCTTAAAGAGAATACGAAAAAGTGACCGTTGAATAACAAAATGCCTACGTTTTTAGTTTTCAGTGTAACAGAAGTGTTTCCCAGCCTCACACACAGGTACTCGAACCGTAAGTTGCTCTTTATTACAATCAGAAATGTTAGTATTGGGGTTCAGGATTGACCTCCTAATTCAGGCCTGAACATTCACTAAGAGGTAACCTACCAATATCTTGTCAAGTCTCTAATATCCGAGGAATTCATATCGTAAATTTTGCATCCCATGGGCTAACATCTCTGAGATGATATCAGTCGCGTAGAAGTGAAAGATACTCTCGAGCTGACATACATTATATAGCCACTGAAATCCAGAGAATATTGTACAGGTTTTGTAATAGTTCTGAAATCCTCAATCCACAATGCAACCATGACCTCACTCAGATAGAATCAAACCAAAACTTTCAAGTTACAACACGAGTGCGACGACTATCCAGCCACTTGGACAGAATCCAGTCGCTGCCTCACGGATTCTAGTTGAACATATATATATATATAGCTCCACCACCGACCCACGCTATCAGTGACGCACATTCAGCAATAAAATTCACCATAAAGAAAGAAAGTAATGATAGTATCTCATTCCTGGATGTATTCCTGGCCAGGAAAGCAGATGGTACACTAAGAAAGATTGTGTATAGGGAACGTACAACAAAAGATTAATACACTCATCTCTTGAGGCTTTGCATATGTGAAACATAAATGTAACTTGGTAAAATGTCTGGTTCAAAGAGCTAGGATAATCTATTCATACAACTCTATTAATTAGGAGCTTAAGACTATCGTTAGAGAATTACTTAGTAAAAATGGTTATCCAGATAGGTTCATTGAGAAAAATATGAATTTAGCACCAAAACAAGCCAGTAGGCCAACAGCTCCAAAAATTCACTTTTCATAAAACTGAAGTTCCTCGGTGATAACATCAGAGAAATAGTAACACATCGCTTGAGGAATGCACTTAAAAGAGCTTTCATGACAGCAGAGGTATGTTGCCTCTTCCCTAGCACTCCTACTTTACGTTCGAGGAATAAGAACAAACTACCCAATTTCGCCTCCTCTTTGTGTATCTACCACTTTGATTACAGCTGCTTAGCCAGCTACAATAGACGTACAATTAAGCAGGTCCATCATCGTATTTTCGAACATCGTCCTGAATGGTTAACCAAAGGACCCTGTTTTAGCACACCTTGTAGATAGTGAACATCCCGCTGATATTAATACAGCATTTAAAGTTATTTATCGCATTCCTATTAATCTTGATTCTGCTTTACAAGTTCGTCTTCTATATACAGCTGAAGCCTTCGGAATCCACCTGAAGAAGCCAAACCTGTGTGTTCAGAAGAAATTCGTACAGCCACTTTCCTTACCTTGACCATCATTACATGAATGCATAGACCGGGCTACTTTACCCTTCCTCTCCACCTAAACCTTTGAAAAATTATCATTGTTCAAGTTATTTTATTATTTTTCTGATTACTTCATCTTTAATTACAAGTTACCATTGTCCAAATTGTTTTATTATGCCTCATTATTTTGTTAAGTAATCAACTCAAATACTCACTTATTCCTTAATTACTCTTCATTTTTCCAAAGTTATACATTGTGCTATCCACTTGTTATAACCATTTCTGCCCTATAATTGTTTTATTAACTCTCTTCGTTAATTATCACCCGTCACCCCCTTGACATGTTGATACTGACTAATTATTGTAACCAAACCTGATCAGCGAGTGCCATTTGATTGGTAAACTGTTGTATATTGTATAAAAAATGTTATGCATATATGTATTAGACTTTGAAATGGTGGAAATTTAAAATACTTTACTCCTTTGGGTTGTTGTTTAAAAACTGGTGAGCTATATCCACCATCTTGGCCTTAAACCAACCCAGATCTTCATCGGATGTTGCGGCAAGAGGTTTGAGTTGGTCAAATAAGTTTTCAAACTCACCATGGATGGCTAAATCCGTAAATTGCGTGTGAAGAACACAAAATCTGAGTCCAAGGGATAAAGCTTCTTTCAGATGAGTAGATAGAGTAATATCAGAAAGATTTGTAACATACTTATCAGGATTCACCGGGAAAAGATCTACGCGGTATCGATCATCAATTGAACTCTTCAACTTATTTTGTATATTCGTCTTTGTTTTCTGAGTAACATCTTACAAAACTGAAGAAATTTCATGTGGCATATTATTGATAATTCAGATAAAATAACTGACGCGTCGGTATGAAGAACAAGTAGTCCTTGTAACGTTTGTCTAACATTTTCGATATGTGACTTTGTAAGACGAACAAGATTAGAAATATTTGGTTGTAATGAAGACAATGAAGACCACTAAACCTAATAGCAGAGGTAATAGTACATCTGCTATGGTATCAAAACAAAATTTACCAAGGAAGGTTTAATGTGATAAAGAATTGTTTTTGATGAACTTAAACTTCCTAATTGCCAGCTAGGGCTTCCACAAACTTTACGATACGCCCCAAAGACGTTTTATAGATAGGTTTAAAAGATCTGTTAACGTCACTTTTATGTCCTGTCTCTATAATATGCTTCGCAATAGAATAGCTAGGTCTCCTGTTCTCACCATTCATGGGTCCTGAAGATTCCATTTGTTTCTGGAGCCATTTAGGAATATGCTCTGAAGCAATTTTTTAAAACTTTGAAATTCAGTAAATTACAACCAAATATCTCTAATCTTGTTCGTCTTACAAAGTCACATATCGAAAATGTTAGACAAACGTTACAAGGACTACTTGTTCTTCATACCGACGCGTCAGTTATTTTATCTGAATTATCAATAATATGCCACATGAAATTTCTTCAGTTTTGTAAGACGTTACTCAGAAAACAAAGACAAATATACAAAATAAGTTGAAGAGTTCAATTGATGATCGATACCGCGTAGATCTTTTCCCGGTGAATCCTGATAAGTATGTTACAAATCTTTCTGATATTACTCTATCTACTCATCTGAAAGAAGCTTTATCCCTTGGACTCAGATTTTGTGTTCTTCACACGCAATTTACGGATTTAGCCATCCATGGTGAGTTTGAAAACTTATTTGACCAACTCAAACCTCTTGCCGCAACATCCGATGAAGATCTGGGTTGGTTTAAGGCCAAGATGGTGGATATAGCTCACCAGTTTTTAAACAACAACCCAAAGAAAAAAAAATATGTATTAGAGTAGAGTTCGAGTGAGATGAGGATCTAATTGAAAAGTGAATATTTCTTCGCTCAATTCGTTTGCCTTCTAAATGTCTAATTTGGGATGTATTTTTATATTGAAATACAAAAAAACTCTAAAAGAACTATTGGAGTTCAATTAAACGAGAATTACAGAATTCAACTTACTGGTTTCAAATCACAATGAATAATGCCTTGTTTACGTAATAAACACAAACAAGTGAGTAATTTCACAGTGATTTTTTTCAATGAATGTATTGTAAAACCACGAAAATCATTTTTTCTCAAAAGGTCATATAAATTTGAACTGAACAAAATGAAAAATACAAAATAAAAATTACATATTAATTAATTAATTTATAGAGGAATTAATACAGTGTATTACGTAATGCTGATAAGCAAGTTTTTGAGTGTGTATATCATTACTGAGTGGCCTAACATATGTTGCTATTGTTTCCTGGATTTGTGTAGGCGTAAGTAGACTCCACTCATACTTCGATGAAACCACACACACACACAGTGAATAATGTTGACGTAATTTGTTTGGCTGTGTCTAGCTGTGGAATGCAGGACAAGCGTTTCGTCCGTGTTCAGGAGTCGTCGTCATCATCAGTGAATGATGATGAATTTTCGCACTAAAATTCAACGAATCTAACACCTGTCTTTCTGAACACCAAAAGCGTCATCCCTCGGTCACTAGCGGGTGGAGTTTGGATTCCACTGATAGCAATCATCAACCAAATAACATCATTTTATCTTAGAAATGTCGTTAAAACATCCATCCTAGTAGCCAATATGTTAAGAGAGACTGGACAGTTCATTCTAATAACATCAGTCAACAGAAAATCCATAAAATAACGGAGAGCTCAATGAAGCCTTTGAAGTAAGGAAAGGTGCAATAAAAATCCGCTTACTATCACTGATGATATTCCTAAATGATGTCGACTGGATCAAGTAGCAGACTTTGGAATAAGAAAAAACAGACATACACTGAACCGAAATGAAGACACTAGAAGATCTGGACTTCGCAGATGTCAAAAAACCTTGAAGATCTACAGGCGACAACAAAAAAGTTGGTGGATGAGACTAAGAAGACAGAACTTCCTGTGAGCACAGGGATGACATAGTCAATGAAGACACATACTGACCAACAACAAGAAGCACTAACCATTTCCAGAGGGATAAGCATAAAACAGGTGACCTTTTTTCTAGGCAGCATGCTCTCACTTACAGGCAGGCGGCACAGTTCGTGATGTCAAAGCCTTTCAGGATCGCATCAGAGAATCAAGACAGATCTTAATTATTCTGTAGATAGTCTGTATAAGGAACAAGATTCCAATTTTTAACACCAAGTCAGTGAATGCTCCTATATGTTTCACAGACCTAGCATGTTACGTAAGGCATTTTCAACTAACTTAAGAACTTCATCGATTGTCGCTTTCACCTGAAAACACTCAAGATGAGTTGGCCGGAGAGGGTTAGCAAAAATGGAACTCGAGCAAAAAACCAACCAAAAGCCTGTCACCTTAAATATATGTCAAAGGAGATAGAGATGGACTCAATCTATGCTGAGGAAACCATTGAGTGACGTCAAGTGCCATGTTTTCTAGTAGAACGCAAATGAGAAACTGTCAGTCAAGAGCGGGTTCGACGGTGACACGGTGTAAACAGTCTGAGGAGAAAATAAAAGTGTACAGGCTATTATGGAGCTAACTACAGATGATAGCAGAAAACAGGACGGACCTAAGGAGATAAAAACAATGGACGAAACACGCTTCAGAGTGAGTCATTATCACTATCATTATCATTATTATTATTATTATCGAACTCATGTCATTAATTTACGTGGATTGTATTGAATCCTACTCAACCACTTGTATTTCAATGCAGTTATCTGTCTATTCAAACCTCAACAGATGAAAACAAATTTTAACCTGTGATCCAGGCGTCGGACGTCGAGACTCCACACCAGTGAACCACAGCTCTATGTTAAGTGATCTATCATAAAGTTGTTCACAACGGATTCTTCGTAGAACATAATTATTTCTAATTATTATTATTTTTTATTTTTTATTTTGATTATTTTGATTACAGCTTGATTCCACACCGTATTTTCAGTACAAGTGTGGAATTTTCAGCATGGATATCGGTAGCCCAAATTTTGCAGGCCGACCATAGATATCGGATGTGCGTCGGCAGCGGATCGAACCCCGGACCATGAGCATGGTCGGCGAGAGTCCTAACCACTGTGCCACCGACGCAATTCACACTAAAAGTAATTCACACTAAAAGTAATCATGAAATCACAGTATTGTTCAATGAACAATATTGATTATTTCCCAAGAACATTCACAGAGATCATCATCGTGTATGAGAAACATGGTGCATCACGAAAAGCATTCCCAACAAGCCACTGAAAACTTTTATCAGCAACTGCCCACTCCACTGGCTCCATACTGAAGATCAGATGGCTGGTCAGAAAGAATTAGCAACAAGAAATCATGGGGACAAACCACCAAGAACCTATTTTTCAACTAATATCCAGGAGAAAATAGAGATGGATAGGGCACATACTGAGGGGGCCATCGAATGACATCGCGGTATCGCCAGGTCATCACTTGAGTGGAATCCGAATGAGAAACGACTTGTGGGTCATCCGAGGGAGACATAAAGGAGATCGTGTTAGGATGAGATGAGAGATTACGGGTGGTCGTGGAAAAGACTATAAACTGGAGATGTGTTCTTGAAGCCCTGTGTTCAACTTCGAACCCAAAAGAAAAATATATAACTTTAAACATAAACTTACCCTAATAAATCGAATACAATACATAAATGGTTACGAAAAATGAAATGCTCTCTAATATGTATAATATTGTGTATATTCCTATGGTCAGCTTTTCTCAGATTCTCCAATATGGCTACTTCAACTTGAGCTTGCTGATGAAATCTAAACGATGCAAAGACATACACAAAGAAATACAAATGGAAGCTGAGTAATTTATTCAAATGAAATACTTGTTTGAATAAACCACAGTTAAATGAAACCAGGACGTGTTTTCCTGTATGCTGTACTAACTTTAGATATGGTCAACAGTAGTTTCGCCCACTTACACACACCATAGTGCTTATCATTCGGCGAAAATGTCATCACTTTTTGATTGTCATTAATGGTATCAAGCAGTCCACATGTTTTAATCTAAATATTTTGAGTTTCTAAGGGCAACTCTGGTTAATGTTCACTCTTAAACTGTACAGTTACTCAATGATCGATCGCATTCTATGTATTTCCATTCTGACAGAATGTAACTAATCAGAACTCAGAGTGACTTTGGGAATTGTTATCCAGAACGATTTATTGAAAAAACCATGAACCTTAGACCGCAAAAGCCACTCGCGTTTAGCGTCCCGAAAAAACTTCTCTACATGAACCTTCAATTCAATGGAGATTCATCTGCGGAAACAGTGAAAAATCAGCCGTACTGTTCACTTAAGAAAACCTTCGCAGTTGAACTACGATTAACATTCTCCACGAAACTGATGATTCGTATGAACGTGGAGGATAAGCTACCACTGCTGGCCTCATCAGTGTGTATCTACCAATTCACCTGCTCTCATACAGCTAGCTGGGTATGCCGGCCGTACCCAGCGTTCTCTTTCCAAACGTATCAGTGAACACTTACCAGCATGGTTTTACAAAGGCGAAAATCGATGCCCCGCAGGTCTATCTTAAAACATCTGATAGATTCCGGACACCAAGCTACACCCAAAACAAACTTCAAAGTCGTCTACAGAATACGAAACAGTCTTCCTAAAAGTGTACGAATCAAACTTCTTCAAACTGGTAATGGTAATTCACTTGCTAAGTCCCAAACTCTGCATACAGAAGAAGCTCGTTCAATCACTACACTTGCAATGAACGTAATCTATCTTAATACCCGACAGGTAAATTCTATTTCTTTCTGTCTCTTCATTCACATTATTTTGTCTTCTTAATTGTAATATTTTACATTTTCAGCTTTCCTGTTCTCTGCCCTCACCCGATTTAATTTCGACACTTGACTGCCACTGTTACTGACTCGACTAACGCTCAATTTCCAGCCATTTAAGTTGCGTCATCCAATTTATTTGCTCAATTTTAAACCTACTTTAAATGGCATTATTCCCTACCCCAACTCTACTTAGTCTCTGTCTACCTATAATTACCTCTATTGCTATCCTGACGTAAATTGAAACATTTCAGTCAATTATATTACGTCACCTAACTTACTAACTCAACCTTACTTTAGTTGCTGTCTAATTAACCTTGTTTCGATATAATGTCATTCTTGTATTACCTGATTAATTATCTAAACTTGACAAACCTCATGTACACACACACACAAATAATTGTATATAAATGAGATTGTACAGCTATGTGAATGAATTCGCCATCGAAAAGAGACTCTTCGCCGAACGTCTTCTCATTTTCATATGACTCAATGGGGATTTCTTAGCTTCTTTTGAAGTGACTAGACTCTTTCTGACTTAGTCAGTCTATGCACACTACTGATATGTTCGGTTGCCAAAACAAGTGAAGCTGTTATTTACTGAGTTTGAAATCACTTTCTTTCTAGCCAGTATGCCCTCATATTGTGGTATGTCCTACTGATAAGATTTATCAGTAGTATATAAAGAGACACTCATAGGCATAAAAATATCAAAAGCATGGAGGTAGATTTGATGTCAGAGAAAAAAAATGATACAGCGTTATGTAGATACATGGGAGACGTGAAAGGAACACAAAGAAACACAATATTGAGGCCAGAAGTTGCATAACAGTGAAGATCTGTGCAAATGGCGACTTGAAGATAATTTCACCATATAGATATACCGAATTCCAAATAAGAAGAGTGCTAGGAGAGACAAAAGACAATTCTACGACACTTTGGCAGCTGAAGCAGAAGAAGCCAGATGCTAAAAGAGATCTCAGGAGATTATATCAAAGATATCAATTCAAATGATGAAATCAATAAAAGATGCTCAAGGAAACCCGATTACCAAGGAGGAAGAACAAATAAAACAAGGAGCTGGTCACTTTAAAGGACTCTTGAATAGACCATCACTTGCAACTCGCCATAAATACACCAACAGCATGCACAGAACTGCCTGCCGGTGGACACTAAACTACCAACGAAAGCAGAAATCCTAAATGCGATCAAGCTGCTGAAGTCAATCAGGAAGGCAGTATGACCAGATGGAATTCTTCCCTCAGCAGTGAAAACGGACCCAGAAACTGTGGCATATGTTTCCACGCCATTATTGCAAAAGGTTTGGAGGGAAGGTAAGGTAACTACCGAAAGGAAGAAAGGCTACCTCGTCAAGCTGCCAAAGAAAGGCGACATCGGTCTGTGCAAGAACTGGCGTGAATCCATGCTCTTGTCCACGCCAAGTAAAATACTAAGTCGCATCTTCCTGGAATGAATGAAAGATGCACTAGATGCAGAACTTCTTCAACCGGAACAACCTGAATTCAGGAAAGGCAAGTCATATGCTCATCGAATTGCAATCCCAGGCATCATCATCAAACAAAGAATAGAATGGCAGTCAAACCTCTACCTAAACTTCCTTCATCGACTTCGTAGAGGCCTCCGATAGCGTTGACCAAGAAGTAATTTGGAAGCTACTTCAACACTACGGCGTGAAGTGCCCCAAGTCTTTATCAACCTCATTCAGCAGCTATATGACAATATCACGTAGCCAACTCAACGAGGTGTTCAAAGGGAACACAGGAGTAAGACAGGGGTGTCTATTATCACCGATGATATTCTTAATTGTGGTGGACTGGATTATACGTCAGACTGTGCATCAGGAGGAGTGAGAAGACAGGAGTACGCTGGACCACCAATAAGAAGATTCTAGAAGATCTGGATTTCTCAGATGTTATGTCTAGTGTCACACAAACTCAAAGAATTACAGGTGAAAACCAACAAACTGGCTGAAGAAGCAGCGAAGACAGGACTCCAAGTGAACATAGAGAAGGCGGAGGTGATGAAGATAACCAACCAACCAACGGCAACAACAGCCAGCACCAATCACGATCAACGGGAGAGATTTGAAAGAGGTTACACTTCCTTCACTTATCTAGGAAACATCCGTTTAATCACAGCTGGCGGAACGGATGAAGATGTCAAAGTCAGAATCAGAAAGGCAAGATACGCCTTCAACAACCAGAAAACAATTTGGAAATTTTCTACACTGACTCAGAATAAAGAACAGGATTCGGATTTTCAACACCAATGTGTAGTCGGTTCTTCTATAAAGGTCAGAAACTTGCACTGCGCGTGTGTCACGAAAAGGATCTCCAACAAGTTACAGACTTTTATCAGCAGCTACCTTTGCTCCATATTGAAGACCAAATAGCCAGAAAGAAGTCGTAATAAGAAACTGTGGGAACAAACCAACAAGCAAGAGCCGATCGCTCAACAAATATGTGGGAGGAAATGAAAATGGACTGATAGGGCATAGATTGAGGAGACCGTCGAATGAAATCGCTCTCCAGGCCAACGCTCAAGTGGAATGCAAATGGGAAGCGGCTGGTGGGTCGTCCCAAGGTGAAATGGAAGAGATCCTGTGAAGAGGAGATGAGAGATTGTGGGCAACCGTGGTTCAAACTGAAGAGGACGGCAGAAGATAGAACAAAATGGATATGTGTTGTTGAAGCCCTATTTTCCATCCGGAACTCAAGGGAATAATAAAATAAATAATAAAAATATCCAATGAAACATTCCTTTACCAAGTCTCTTGTCTTCTACGGTTACATTAATAGTATTAGTAGTTAATAAAACCAATTTTGGGTATCTCAATCACTTGTTCACTCGACTACTATTACTACTTGCCTTTTCTTATTTCGTATAATTTTTATAGCCACAGGAAATCCAGATTTATGATCAATGGCACGTATTACACGACCAAAAGAACCTTTTCCCAGTGTTTCTAATGCTTGAAATCGATAAGCGATATGATCATGGGTTATCTGAAATGTAAAGTAAATAAAAGATCAGAATAAAGGTTTAAATTAAATGCCATTCTCAAATCTGTTTAACAATCAATGATACCGGGAATGAAGTACGCCTGTATTTTTTCTATAAACGATCATCGAGTTAGTTACGTAGAGTCTGATGATGCTTACCCTTTCCAACGGAAAGGAGAGTTTACTGGGTGAAAAAACCGTGCCAGTAGTGAAAAGTATTTATCCACAAACATTCACGAATAAGTGTTAAGAAACATAAAGTTAGGAGGCGTATAATTCTTCAGACAACCTTTACAAATGACAAAACCTCCAGCAGAAACAACTGGGAACTAATTAATGCACTGATTGAATATAGACATTTAAGAATTAGTTTCTAGAGATTACATCTATTTCAAGTCTGCTCACGGGCAGATGTCAACCAGAGAACCATTGAAAACCAGGAAATACTGAGCAGCTATTTCGACTCTACTTACTAAGCCACTCTCACCGGTCATTCAGACACTTAGGCCGGAATTCAATGACTGGGTAAGATTCTAACTCCTGTCGACTTGCGATTTTAGTGTGAATACTAGCCAATGTCATCGGTGAGTAGTCTTCTTCACACCCGACCTGACTGAACCCACTGGTCATGACTTCTCACTAGTATTCCAGGCAACCTGGTCTTGTAACCAGTCACTAACAGGCAACCGACTAATTATCAAGAGTCAGTTTGTAGTTAATTTGCTTGGTCTCGTATCTAGAAGATCCTGAGTCTGATCCCTGGTTTCGGTTTTGACTGCGTAATCCTGGGTGGTCTCAAACTGGAACGAAACAGCTATCCAGTACTCCCTGAATTTCAATGGTTTTCTAATTTACATTAATCTATGATCAAATAGGAGAGGAACTGTTTCTCGAAAAACTCTGAAATTGATAATTCTTCTTCTCATCTTAAAGGTGAATGCTTCTGTCAGTATCGAGAATTATCTATCGTCAGAGTACAGAAAGAGATGTCTTTAAATGTATCTTGAGTCACACATCAGAGAAATTTAGTTCTAAATTCGCTGATTATCTATTATATTAGCAGTGCGTGCTACTCATATATAGATACGAGTATGGTGTCAAGTAATGCCGTCAGAAAAGTAATCATAATTTCAAGTATTGGTTTGTAGGGATTTGATTGACTGGTTGGAGGATTTCATCGTGAGCTGACATCGATTAGAGAACCATTGGAAAGCTTGCAGTGAGTACTGAACCGCTGCTTCGTTCTAGTCTCTTGGGTCTCTTCAGCAGTACGCACCCACCGCCATGGTTCGAAACCAGGACCTTCTGGTTACAAAGCGAGCTTGTAGAACATTAAGCCACTGGGACCCAATCCAATGGACAGCCCATGAATTCTAACTTCTGCTAATTCATGACATAGCATGACCACTAGCCATTGTCATCGGTGGCGTACCCTACTGGTCACTAAATCTCGCTAGAACCCAGGTAAGCAGTGGGAAGTCGTGACCAGTAGGGTGCAACAGGTCGGGTGTGAGGGCAAATACTTGCCACCGATGAGACTGGCTGGCGATCGTGCTATGTCATGAATTAGCAGAAGTTAGAATTCATGAGCTGGCCATTGGATCGGGTCGCAGTGGCTTAATGGTCTCCGAGCTCGCCTTGTAACCAGGAGATTCTGGGTTCGAACACCTGTAGTTGATGGGAAATGATGAAGAGTCCCAAACTAGGATGGAGGAAACAGCTGTCTAGTAATCCTTGTTTTTCCAATAGTTCTCTAACTGATGTCAGCTCATGATGAAATCCTCCAACCAGTCAAATGAAATTGACATTGAGGCCATGCCAGTAAAAGTGGTGGATGAAATAGTTCAGGATTCCTCCTTTTGGACTGTTATAGATTTGACTCTATTAAGAAGATGTAAACGAAGTCCTTTCGAATAGCTTCACCTTACTTTATATATCACCATGAAATCTACGTAACAAGAAGCCACAATGCTCTCCAGAATTGAATTGTTGACTTTTCAACGTCCTCTTTTCACTAAGCATTCTGGTGATTGTTCACTGTTTTATTAATTTACAGTAATTTCCAACCTGTCAATTGAGATTGTTTGTACAAACTCTGTAAATAAATGTACAGCTTTTTAAGTGAAGTAACGAGAAGAAAACATCGCTTTCTTGATTCCTGTATTGTTAATTGCATCACATAAGTATATTTGGAAATTTACAAGTGCTCATCACATCATTCCAACACAGAGATTGTCCTTTGTCTGTGCCTGATAGGTGGCAGATTGCTCGTCAGTCATGTTGGGATATCACTCCTAACCCGTGAAAGCAGCACAGCTGCTGGTGGAACTTCAAAGGCACATAATTTCCTTACCTCCATCTGTATTTTCTCCTAAAAACCATTATTTATACCCTCACCAACCTTGCTGACTACAACTGATGTCACTGCTTCTTCAGGAGACAAAGATGTGTCACGTCGTCATGTCTTCAAAAAGGCAGAAATAAGTACATTGTAAAGGTCCTCGAAACTGTTGCTCACCTAACCGACGATTCATGATAAAGTGTATGCCAAAATTAATATCACTAACTGCTTATGAGGTCTTAGGAGTGAAATCAAATTTAGCTATACCGATAATGCATCTACAAATGAACAACTCTCGGAATTTAAATGTAAAGATTTCAACAGATCGTCTCCAACTTATGTGAGAGTGTGGTGAGAGCTGTCTGCTAGCCAAAATCGGTAGACAGCAATTTACGTCAATGTTTACGTCCCAAATCTTGGTCATGAGAAAAAACAAGAACAAAGCCTAACCTTGAGGAACTCAACAACCAATCACAGCAAACTTTGCGTGAGTGGATACGATTCGCAGTTATATGGTTTGACCTTCTAAGAAACGGCCACGAAGAGATGAGAGAATAACTTCCTGTGAGAAAACAACCAATCAGATGACGCTGTTTCTCTGCTAATAATAGCGCTAATAATAATGTACATAAAAATCTATAAATATCTCTTGATTTCCTCAATAAACGATCTGTTGCCTGACTCTTGTCTTTTGTCGTTACAAAAAGTCTCTAATGTACAGTTTCATTTCAACCTTCTTTTCTTTTTAAAAGCTTCACAGTGAAATGCCACCTAAAATAAATTGCCTTGAGCTGTTTTAAAAGAGAGTCATTTTTCACCATAACAATCAATAACCTTTTTATCAGGCTGTTAATTGTATACTTAATTAGTCTAACCAGTCACGGAGTCAACTCAGGACCGTTCAAATAAAGCAAAATAATGAATAATAAATCAATATTTAAACATACTTTTAAATATCCCCCAGTTTCATCATCATATCCATGATTACTTGGTGATCCAATAATACCTTCAATTTTTTGAGCAGATAAACCGAGATACCAAATTTTTGAGAAATTTAATATTTCATCCCTTTCAAAGGATGTCAACTTCTTTCCGTAAATATTTAATGCAGCTAAAATTGAATTGTGAATAAGGAACGAAAAATGCGTCACAGTGTGTTATCAAAAAATCAGGAATTCTGTTCCAATTTCAAGTTTTATTTAGGGATTCGATGATTTAGTTTGCAGTGTAGATATCATCATGAACTGATATTAGGTAGAGGATCATTGGAAAGAAGAGGATAGTGGACAGATGTCTCCTCCTAGCTCAGGATTCTCGAATGGTGTGCACTTAAGACGTTACTGGGGATCGAATCAATGAAATTCAGCTTATTGGGGCATGTCGCTGACGGTTCAGTCTACTGGAATGAAATTGAATGTCGCATGAACGCCAACCTCTGTCAGTTGATTGAACAGTACTACCGCCATACAGAACCATCGGTGATTTACTGTCCTCACAACCAACACATTGAATATTATCAATCATAACTTTCCATTAGGACTGCATTAAGTTCATCTTGTAGTCGGTTTCACCAGGGGTTATGCGAGTGTACCGCTAAAAACTGGTCTCACGTAGTTTTGCTGACTAGTTTTCTAGCCGGTCCCAAGCCCGGGAAAAGAAGGAAGGTTAGGCGTGGAGCCAGCGATCTTACCATTGAAAATCAATCAAACTGCTGCAGAAACTTCAAAGCACAAGAAAAATGTTAAACATATCAAAAACAAACTTATTCTTCGCTGGAATTGGAGAGAGGAAATGACACAGCAGGCTGGTGAAAGCCTTCGGAAAGCCAGTCAGCCGATGTGCCTTCGTTTGACAAAAGCAGAAATAAGTATGGGGACGCGGAATGCTCCTACAACATTCGAAGCTGGGAAGCCTGTCAAGGTAGCAAAAGAAATAAAAAGATGTGGTATAGAAGTGCTTGGAACCTGCGAAAGTAGATAGAATAGATGTGGACTATCAAAATCGTCAGCTGATGAGTCAGTAATCTACTCCGGTCACCCAAACGGCAAACACGAGCACACTGATGTCACCAACAGTGGCTGAAGCTATAATGCAATGCTACACACAACTCGAAACAAGAGAAGAGGGAAGATTTCTATAGACACTTTCAAACAGTAGTGGACGACGTCCCAAATAGCCACATGAAAGTCTTTATGGGCTATATTAATGCTAGCCAAAATGGCAGCAGATAATACACGAAGAGAACTCATCATGGATCGAGAGGCTCTTGAAGAAATGAATGAGAACGGAGAACTCTTCGCAGACATCTGCGCCTTCAGAGATTTGGTGATTGGAGGCGGTGTGCACAAGCACAAAGATATACACAAGGCGAAATGGATTTAACCTGGTGTGCACATCACAAACCGGATAGACTTCATCTCACTATCGCTCAAGGAAATGAAGGTACAGCCTGTTGGAAACAAAGTCGAGAAGGGGAGCAGATGTGTGCTCAGACCACTATCTAGTTCTAGGAACCTTCAAGGTGAAGCGGAAATCTCTCAAAACAAATGGAGACAGGCCACAACTTAAATTCAACATTCAGAAACTGAAGGACAAAAGTACAAGCGATAACTTCACTACAGATCAGATCAGAGCAAAGTCGGAGACACTACTTGGCATCACTGAGGAAACCCGTGTGAAAGAACATTGGAGCTCTCTGAAGGTAATGTCTAAGGAGCCATGTACTGTAGTTTTAGGAAGAAGGAAGAGGCAAGACAAAGAATGGCTGTCAACGGACACCTACCTGAAAGCTAATCGAGGAGAGGAGGATGGTGAAAGAGAAGATGACTCAATGCAAAGATGGACAAGAGAAGGAGAAGCTGAGTTCAATGTACACTGCACTGAATAAAGAAGTGAAGAAGAGTGCTAGGAAAGACAAACGACAATTCTACAACACACTGGCAACTGAAGTAGAACAGGTTGCAGGGAAAAGAGACCTCAAAACATTATGTCGGATAACTAGTTCTCTTTCGGAACAGACACAACCCCAGATGATGAAACCAATAAAAGATGCTCAAGGGAACCTAAGAGCAAGACAAAAGAGAAAAGACAAATAAAACAATGGGCTGATTACTTTTAAGGAATTTCGAATTGACCATCACCTGCAACTCATTCAGAAATACCACTAACAGTACGCGCAGAATTGCCAGTGGACACCAATCCTCCAGCGAAAGCAGAAATCCTGAATGCGATTCAGCTACTAAAGTCCGGGAAGGCAGCAGGGCCAGACGGAATCTCTGTCAAAGCACTGAAAACGGACCCAGAGTCTATGGCAGATATTGTAAAAAGTTTGGAAGGAAGTCTAACTTGTCAAACTAACAAGGACGACAGATTTCAGCCTCTGTAAAAACTGGTGGGGAATAATCCCCTGGTCCACTCCAAATTAAATACCTAGCCGCATCATCCTGAAGAGAATTAAAGGTCCGCTAAATGCAGGAATCTAACCGGAACAAGGCAAATCATCTGCAGATCAAATTGCAACTCTATGCATCATCATCGAACAGCACATACAATAACAGTCTTACCTCTACTCCAGTTTTGTCGAGTTTGAAAAAGCCTTCGACACCTTTGTCCGCAAAGTAATTCAGAAAATTCTTCAACACCACATAGTGCTTCGAATCACTATCAACCTTTATCAACCACAGCTATATGACAGCAGTATGTGTCAAATGACCTACAATGGAAAACTCCGTGGAGACTTTGAAGTGAATACAGGGGTAAGACAAGACTGCATATTGTCAGTGATGATATCGCGAACTGTAGTAGAGTAGGTTATGCAGAAGACTGTAGCACACAAGAAGGCAGGAATAGCCTGAACCGACAAGAAAACTCTAGAAGATCTGGACTTCGCGAACGCTGTATGTCTGATGTCACACACACTCACGCACTTGGAGACTTGTGGGCGAAAACCAATAAACTGGCAGAGGAGACAGACATAAAAGACTGAACTCTAGGTGGACATAGAGAAGATGAGGGTGATGAAGATAACCAACCAACAGCAACAACAACAAGCAGTACCAATTACCATCAGTGGGAGAAATGTGAAAGAGGTTACTTCCTTCACCTATCTAGGAAGCAGTGTTTGATCTACAGACGGAACAGATGAAGATATCAAAGTCAGAATCAGAAAGGCAAGGTACACCTTCAAAACTGAAAATGCAGTTTGAAAATCTTCTGCACTCAGCACAAAGAACAAGATTCGGATTTCCAACACAAATACGAAGTCAATTCTTCTATATGGATCAGAAACTCGGCGATCGAGTCACGGAAAGCATTTCCAACAAGGTGCGAACTTTTACCAACAACTACCTTTGCTCCATGCTGATGATCGAATGGCCGACAGGCCAGAAAGAATTAGCATTAAGGAATTCTGGCAACAAACCAACCAAGAACCGACTGCGCAACAAATATGTAGGAGTAAATGAAGGTCATTTGAGCACATGCTGAGGAGACCTCTGATTTACATCACGCGCTTGTCAATTGCTTGAGTGGAACCCGAATGGGAAACGATGAGTGAGGCGTCATAGGGTGACATGGAGGAGATCGTGCGAGGAGGAGATATGAGACTGTGGAAAACCGTGGGTTTCAGCAGAGAATAGAACAAATTGAAGACTTCTTCTCCTGAAGCCCTGTGTTCCACTCTGAACCCAAGGAACAATGATAATAATACTGCTGAGTACTGCCAAGGTAGCACGCAACAGCAATCCAGTTCTCCTTGATTTTCAATGATTCTGTAACTCTTATCCATTCGTCGCGAAATCTACATTAGGAATAACAATACTAATAATGACTGTTAAATAAATAGTAAGCGAACTGTCAAAAGTGGGAGATTCTTTCTATGTTCTGTCTACCACTGGATAAGTCAAAGTTACGTGCCCCCCCCCCCATGTACTTGCTCAAAATCTTAAAACAAACTAACTTAAATATAAACTACTGTTTTTGTGCGTTGACTTACATTTTTCCACTTTCCCTTAAGGCTCCCAGTTTGATACCTTAAATTAATATAAGTATTGAATTTAACTACAAATGGAACAGCACTCCTTAAATCTCAGTCATTACTTAGACGACATATCATCTGACAGAGTAGTGGAGTAATGGAAATGATCATGTGGTGTGAGCTGTCTGCTAGCCTGAATTGGTAGACAGCAATTTACGTCAGTGTTTACGTCCTAAATCTTGTTCGTGAGAAAAAACAAGAACGAAGACTAACTCAACAACCAATCACAGCAGACTTTGCGTGAGCGGATACGATTCGCAGTTATATGGTCTGACCTTCTAAGAAATGGCCACGAAGAGATGACAGAATAACTTCCTGTGAGAAAACAACCAATCAGATGACACTGTTTCTCTGCTGATAATAATGAATAATAATGTACATAAAAATCTATAAATATCTGTTGATTTTTTCAGTAAACGATTTGTAGCCTGATTTTTGTCTTCTGTCGTTACAATCATCCTAGAGAAGACGTTAGTCTTTAAAAGTGTTGGCATAGTTTGGAAGAGATACATTATGAGTTAGTGTTTTCTGTGGGATCTGTAATCTTGATCTTCATATGGATGAAAAATAATATCGTTCGATTTTTATAGATGTGTGCTATTCAGTCAGAATATAGTTTTATTGGCCGAGTAAAAATAAACTGTAATTTTTAGTGATATTGTCTATTTCATAGAGGAATAAATCTTCGCCTTCTGAGTCAGCCATCTGCGTTTCTTTCTCTCAGTGCAGGAAAAGCATCTCAAGTTATCTGTTGTGTGTTATTGTGTGCATGTGTTTATCAATGCAACGAAATCAAGTCCCGGTGTAATCTTACATGATTATCATTGTTGTAAAATGAATAATTATATGCTCAGTGTGAAAACGATTATTGACTTAAAAGAGGCGCTCAGTGGAGCTGTACAATCGCATATACGTATAGTACATTGTCATAGCAACGAAGGGAATGTTTCCACAGGTGTTTCATTGAAACTGTAAGTATTAAACGCCTGTTACGTAATACAATAATTATTAATCCAGAGAAATGAAAATAAAATAATTCACAGGATTTGGTAGAGCTCAGCTGAAGAAAGGTCAAG